TAACAACACCCTTAATTCAAAGGGTAGGGCGGGAACAAAGCCAGAAACAATGTCCTCTGAAACTTTCTGGCGGGCCAACATCATGGCAGCCTACGTATTACAGGCAAAACAGGAGGGCTTGGAGGGGGGGGGGGGGGATTATTCACATTCACAATGGACAGAGGCAACAGTGATGCACTGTACATGAATTAACCTTACATTTCTTTCCCAGGCCATTCAGAATGATATTCTCTTAAGTTCCCCTTCAATGTTTGCCACCACCATGAACACTGCAGTGCTATTTGATGCTCACTATAGCAAGTTCCATTAATAAGTGGGCACTTGTTTGTACTAGCTAGCGTTTTTCTTTGGAGACTGAGAGCAACCTTTTTGGACAGGTACCACCGTACGTCTATCAAGCCTGCATTCATTTCTTTTAAATATTTTATCTTAAAAACAAAATTCCTCTATCCATTAATGTATTCCAACTTAAATCCCTATTACGAAATACGTTTTAAGTAAAAACAAAACAGAGGAATACGAGGTTGGTGATTAAAAGTCTGAGCCAGGAAAAGTACAATTGGCAAAAAGAAATCTTTACATGACTGGAAGCGATTTACTTTTATCAACTTGAAGATGTTTTCACGACAGCATGTAAAGGATGTAGTGTTATGGAATCACCTTTTATCAGAGCACCAGGGATTCCTGTATCGCAAAAAAAACAAAAAAACAAAAAGGCAATGAAACTCATTAGCCGTGTGAGGTAAAACTTCTGAAATGTTGAGATTTGAAAAAAGTTCAAGTGTTGTAAAATCCCTCACAGATTTAAGGGTAATGATCAATGTTGTTTGTGCATTTGAGAAGACTCAACAAAGTGGCGCGAAGGGGAAAGAAAACGGGAAACGTTAGTGCGCTTATCTTACACTGGTTGATATGATAGGAGGAGAAGAAAGAAATGTTTGACTTCACAGATAAAAAGATGGTTCAGAACCATACAACGTAGTAAAACTGAGGCGTAAAACGACAAATAGGAATGGCATCAAATTTCCGGCTGTGGCTACACGACAATCTCTCAATTAAAATGCTTCATAGATTCACCAGTGCAATGTACATTTCCTTGGTGGCACTTGATGAGTTCTGCGTTGACACTACACTGCTGAGTCTGTTAACTTCAACATTTCCTACCCAAGCTCCAGTTACATCTTCCCCGTTTAAACCTTGGCTCTGACACCTTCATTTCTAGCGCTTTGAACTGCACAGTTGTCTGAATAGATTATACACATCAAACTTTACAATGAAAGATTTTTGTAACATTTCAAGGCTCAGCCTCTGTCAAGCTTAGGCCTAAATTAAAAACACCATCCATTTATTACACTCTGTAACGCGGTCAGAGTGAGAGAGAGAGAGAGAGAGAGAGAGAGAGAGAGAACATAAATTATTTGGAGTGTCAGCACATAAAAAGTTAGAGCTATAAATGGTGTATGGAGTGCCACCTTACTACTCCCTGACACACGGTCAGATGTCCTGTTAGCCAGGAACAGAAAGTCATGGTCAGGTATGGGCACAAAGTAAATGCAAAAGTCTGAGAAATGTATATGTACATAAGCAGCTACCCTGCTGTCTTTTACCACTATAAAATACAGCATCTCTCTCTAATTCTCTTGGCCAAACTTTTACTTTTCTTCTTCCCATTCTTCTCTTTGCTGTCCTCCATTTTCCTTGCCCGGATCTCTCTCATCAGGTCAAAGAACACCTGTGAAAGCACAACAAAAGTGGGAGTCACGTGTCTCCGTTTGCTCAAGATCAACAGCGTAAGCCTTGTTCCGGAGACGCCGGTTCTTAGCTAGTCAAACGTACCTTGTCAACGTTGGCGCGGGTTTTGGCCGAAGTCTCCACGTAGCACACGCCCCACTGCTCAGCGCGTGCCTTCGCCTCGTCTGCGCTGACCTGCCGTCGGTCGTCCAAGTCTGACTTGTTACCGACCAGGAGAAAGGGCACGTTCTCATCCTCCTTCACTCGCAGGATCTGCTCCCTGTGGAACAGGAAATGTCATTCAGCCATGAATTATGTAAACAGACTACTGCTTGCTAAAGTTGCCTTAAGTGTTACGTAAATGAGGGGAAATTGTAGGAAAAGCATTTGCATGTCATGATGTTCCGAAATGCCAAAACGGTGTACGTTGTTTATTTATTTCAGCAGGGGAGAATACGTAACAGCCACAGTCATTAAATGCTAATAGATGGGCGAACTCATTGAAATGCTACTGGACCTGAAGTCTACTGTCGCTGCAAATGATTCCAGTTCTGTGATGGAAAACACACAGAGGAAACCCTCGCCACTGCGGAAGTAGTTATCCCGTATGGCTGCGTAGTCCTCTTGTCCAGCTGTGTCAAGGATGTCGATCTGTACCTCCTCGCCGTCCAGCACCACTTTCTTCCTGTAACTGTCCGCCTTGGTGGGCTCGTAGTCTTCAACAAACTACGAGGAAAGGGAAACAAAGCTTTGTGTTAACCATTGTCCTCAACTCGGTCGCCCATCATGCCAACAAAGAGAAACCTTTCCTACCACGACGACTTATGGGAGTTGCTCACCTCATCATACATGAACTGGAGAGTGAGGGCCGACTTCCCCACTCCTCCACTGCCCACCATGATCACTTTGTGAAGGGCGAGGGAGTTCTGCCCTTTTGGCTTAGCAGCTGCCATGGCTCTGTGTACCAGGAGATCCGAGTGTAAAAAAGGGAGGAAGTTCGACCTGGAGGCGGAGGGAAGTGAAATGAAGACCGCAAAAAAAATCACTCGGAGGGTTCCAGCTGCAACAAAAGGCCTGGATGATAATTCCTGGGGAGAAAAGAGAGAAAAGAGAGAAGAAATCCTAAAATGTTCATGCCGTTAGATTGCGGAGCCATCGCTGTGTCTTATAGCAATAAAAGGAAATCAGGAGAAACTGCCATTAAACTACAAATGCAGTGCAGAGGATAATTCTCTGTACCTTGTTAAAACTACAGCAATATAAAATGTGGTAATGACCACTGGCACTAGACTGATGCATTAGAAAGTGCTTTATAATCAGTATGCTTCATTATTACTCCTCCCTGCCATTATAGGACCAAAAAAGAAAGGTATAGTGAACGATTCCTTTTACTTTTTTCCCCCCCTTTGCGATGACAAAAACAGTCCTAGCAATAATAAAAGTGTTTCCCCATACAATATGTAAAAATGATCCAAACAAATGCACTATTTTGAACTTATAATCGTAATCTTCCTTTCAGACATCTGCACGAATATGAGAATAAAAAGGTGCGTTCATCATCAATCAGCAAAAGGCCAAATCAGGAGCTGCCTTGTGAATGCAGCCTGTGGGGGAAAATACTGTTTGTGACGAGATCGATGACATACAGGTAGGCAAAGGCACATCATGAAAGACATTAGGCAAATCCCGCTTTAGTAAAATAAATAAAAAGGAACCTGTGGAAGCAATTTCAGCAAAGAAATAGAACTTTTTAAAAGCTTCTGGGTAACATCTGGCAGTATTTTCCAAACTCTGACAGGAGTGGATAAATTCTGACACACGCCAAAGCGATTTAGTGATCAGTTCTAGACAGACTATGGGAATACCATGATGTCCTAAAGCGTGTGTTAATGCTCTTTCCTATCCCAGGCCCTCACAGACCTCTGGCGGGGGGGGGGGGATCAGGGATACAGATGGGAATGCAGCCAATGGGTCATTACACAAATGAACAGAAATGGTCCATGCACTGATGGTCAATACTACGATTTAGTACTGACGTAAAATCTCCTTTTACCTCCATCACTTAAACCCCCATAGTAAGGGGAATAAATCTTCTAACAAAGCGTCCTGAGGAGAGATTATCTTCATATCCTCATGTAACATTTTAAGTCGCGTTAGGCACGTTCAATTCCGACCCCAAAGTAGCAAGAAAAGGAAACAGAAAGAAGTATTAAAAGGTTGAAATGATGACCTCAAAACTGGGTGCAACTGTATTCGGACGTGTCAGCATGCTCGCTTCACAAATGTATGTGTGCATCGTGAAACTGCCTGCTCAATAACCTTAATAACACTGGCACGACGAGGATAAAATAGCATGTGATGCACCGTTAGCAGACCAAGTGTCCATTTCACCCCCCCCCCCCATTACAAAACAAACAAAACAACCGACGACTGAAATCGCACATGACGACGCACAATACTGTAATAACATTAACTCGATAGCAAGTTAGCTGCCGACATGTCAGCTGCAGGTAAAGCAGCTCGCAGGTTGACAACAGTGGGCGACGTGGCTGCTAACGAGCTAACTAACCTGTGAGGCAGGTTAACAAACCACCTTGCAGTCAATTCACGAAGTTTAACATGAAGGTTAGCGGCTCGCATAACACATACAGGGACAAAAACGTTCAAATCGGATACCCAGCAACAGATGTTCGGTCGAGCCTTGTCAAACTCAGCAGCTTTTCCTCGCTAGCCAAAGCTAGGGTGGACACACACACAAGGCAAGAGGATAAAAATAAATAAATAAATAAAAGGCTACCGATAACGAGCAGCTAATCACAACTAAATGATGCAGCGTGAGAGAGCAGCCGGTGTCGGTGCGACTTAACCTACCACCTACCGGTAAACGAGTGAGTGGTTCACCTGGCACGACGTTTTTTTCCACGGAGGTTGAGTTATGGTGGAAAAAGATGGGAAGAGTCAGCGTTAGCTCATGGCTAGCTCCCGAGCTAACTCCAGAGACTTGGCTGGTGGCTGGTGGCTGGTAGCGGCCGACTGACTGCACGTCCTGTGGGCTTGGCTCCGTCTGACAACGCCCGCCCGCCTGGGAGAACCACACTCTGCTTCACTTTAATGTGAATGCAACGTTCATTTATCCCACATGACAAAAAATAAATAAATAAGAAAAGACATAGTTATGAAGGGTATTGTAATATATGTAATTTGTGAGGTGTTTTTGGTTATTTTCTTCCTGGTTGCACATAAAGTGAGGTTAAGGGCAGTGTGGTTGGACATGGCAGGTAATTGATTCATTGGCTAATCCGCATAAATGTTTGCACGTTTGTTCAGGAGGGGAGACTCAAGTCAGCAAGAGTGACACAGATTTTCAGAAGCCAGGTAATGTTGGTTTTAATTTGTTTTTATTTTAATAAACGACTGATCATAAATAAATCCCCCCAAAAATAAGTAACTGTGTCTAAGATGTAAAAAATGTCTTAAAATGTGAGACAATGCAATTAAATGTGTAAAAAAAAATTTTGCAATTCAAGTTTTAATGTTTTGACATTGTTTAATGGGCTGTTTCTCTTCTTTTTTTTAAAGCTTAAGTTATGAAGTCCACAATCTCTGACCTGCACTTGAAATTTGCAGAGAAGACATGGAATGAGACATTTCAGCTTGTCCGAAGATGCATGGTAAGCCCCATTCCAGTAACCACTACCTCTGGTAATCTTCTTGCATACATGCAGTCTTTTTTATCAGCATGTTAATTTGAACTCTCTTTTTTTAAAATACCACAGTGCAAATCCTGGCAATCACACAACATTCCCATTGGCAGGGTTGTTTGAAAGATATGCAGCTTACTAGTTATACGCAGAGAAAATGTGCTGACTGCTTTAATATAAGTCATTACACTCGTCACTGGATGGTGATGATTCTCTAATATGATGATGTGCTGCAAGTCAGGAACTGGTGTGGTGATGCACTGAGAATGAGATCATCTATCCTGGAACACACACGTCTTTGTTGGCGGATCAGCAGTCTGTGCATTGATGGTGACTTGGATTCACTTCACTTCAAGTTGCTTGATAGTTTTTTTTTTTTTGGTTGACTTATGTCCTTGGCTTTGTTTCTAGTATGTTTAACACTACCCTGTTTGGCAAGACGATCACAATCCGTTGGCCTCAGTTATTTGCTTTTGCAATATTTACCCTCTTATATCTTTTTTATGTTCAGTTCTTTGTAAGATGCTCCACTTGCAGATGTGTATCATTTGTCTGGGTGGCTTTATAGATTCTGAAGGCTGCAAAGTGTTCATAAGTGTATTTAACACTGCTATACTAACTTGTATGCTGAAGCTATGAGAGGGTGTGTTCGTTTTCTCTAGATTTATCACGGGTGGAGCAGAAGGGTAGATAATACTTTTGGATTAATACAAAGTGGAGCTTGGCAGTGGTCAGTCTCTGGAGTCTGGTTAAAAAAAAAACTTGATTACTTGGTGGTCTGAAGAGATGTGTGGTCCAAAGGGATAAGACAGCTGGGGCTTGTCATTCAGTTTCCTGCCAGCAGTGATGCTGAGGAGGACTTTTGTATGACTAGACTTCTCAAAGAAGAAGTAATGTGAGCAATGCACAATGTATATTTTCACACTCTCAGGTGCAGCAATGTCACAGCCTGCCTGGTACCCACCCCGCAGTGTTAAACATACGAATATCAACGCTTCCCTGTACCACAGTGTCGTGCAGTTTGTGTGTTGCGGGATGGGCCGGGAGGACCAAGGACTGTTTACACAAGGATGACATTGCCACACAACGGGTTCATTGTTGTGTTTTTTTTCCTTCCCTTTGTCCCCCAATAGGACAAATCCAGAGATAAATCCAAACCCTGTGAGGCGCTGGTTAGATCCCTGGAAAGGCTCCAGGAGGTGTTTAATGGTAAACAGAGAATATGCGAATGGTTCTTTATGTATTTTAGTGTTTGAGTTCACCTGTGAGTAAGGCGTTCTGTGTTTCAGTGTCCTCTATGAATACCATGAAGTCTCGTCTGGAAATGATTGCCAAACAACAAGGGTAGAGAGCTTTTCTTTCCCTGTCTGATGTGATCTATGCTTTAATCTCTTTTGTAATATAATGCAGTGGTACAATATACTATCCTCCCTAGAATGGGTTTTCACATTACCGAGGCCACATGCTACCTGACAGCCGACTTGTTCTACCTGGAGGTGGTGTTGTTGCCATGTGGCGGGGTGGAGGACGTTAAAGTGGCCCCACACGGAGGATCTCCTGTTGTAAGTGGACGGCGCTGTTCACATTTCTCCCCTTTACTGTGCACGATAATAAACTGAAATTGTCTTGCAGCCCAGCGAGTCCCTTCTTCAGCTGCTGAGGTAAGCGTTCGCATGATGGTAAATTTTAAAATGTGCTTTTAACCGGCGGCACTGTTATCCCGTAAACTACAGCGATAAAGATGACAGTGCTATTTAAATTATTTCCTTAAGAGAAACTGTTTTAGATGCTGATTAGTCTTTTTTTTGGGGGGGTGGTTTGTTTTTTTGGCACAGGTCAAAAGACTTTGCTGAGTTCTCCATGAAGTTGGCAGGCCTCTTCGCCCAGTACAACATCCCTGGAGACAAGTGCCTACTTTGAAATATTCTTTTAATCTTCAAAATGTTGGGCCTCTTGCAGTCATTTAGCTCATTATATCTTTTTCTTTTCTTCTTTTTTTTTTTTTTTTTTTTTTGTTCCAGTGAAATCCAATTAAAATTGTTTGCATCTCTGCAATGTCTCGGGAACGACTTACAGCAAATGTCACGTTTGCCAAAGTAAGTGACATGAAAACAAGAATGCCGAAAACCTGTGACAATTAGTCTGCGTCGAAGAAAAATGAGTTGGCATTAATTGTTTCAGTCATTTTTCAAACAAGAATGCCAAATATTTGCTGACTTTACTTTGAGCTTTCTGGTGTTGTGATGGGCATTTGTCAATACTTTTTGATGTTTCATGAATTGATTAATTTAAAAAATAGATCAATCATAATGAAAATAATAGTCTCTTGCAGCCCTAATACAAATGGAATCAGTAGTTTTTCTGCTTTCAGCGTCCCAAAGGACTCTGACCCCCAAGTGGACATGATCAACAATGGCAGGATTGGGTATCTAAAAGCTGGAAAAGAAGGTATGTAACACCAAGTAGCCAAAACACAAGATATGTATATATTTTTTTCTTCAGTTGATTGTTAATCTATCCTTCCAGATTGCCCCCTGATTATCCAGTTCTATATCATCCCTACTGATGAAATGGAGACGTCGGATTTACGTAAGATGTCAAAGCTGCCAAACAGATTCACATTTGGCCTGTAAACTATGAATGGTTTTGTTAAATACTTGGATGCATGAGGCACATTCCCAAAAAGTCTTTAAAGGGTCTTAAAGTTGTTCCTACAGTTGAATGTTTGAGCTGTGCTGAGTGACGTAGGTGCAGAGTTTGACACTAGAAGGATGTTTTCACAATCATCTGCTGAGAGGAAAGTTTCTCTGTGCTCATTGAAGATGGGATTTAAAAAAAAAAAAAAATATTTAAGGGCGTGGCCTACGAGCACGATTTGTGACGTCACTAATATTTTGTTAGTCAAACCTGATCCAGTATGCATATTTATACAAGTGTGGTGTAGAAACTTTCACCAGTGCACGTACACTGGAGAATGGGAAGTAGGAGATTCTTAACTAAGCAATATTTGCATATTATAATTTTACTTTTATAGGTATGATAGGCTTTTTTTTTTTTTTTTTTTTTTTTTAAATGTAGAAATTTGACTTACTTGCAGGGGAAAAAATCAGACTTGTTGTTGTTGTTGTTCCAAGCTTAATACATGTCTGGAGGGGATTTGTATTTCCCCAAAAAAATCTTGTTTTTGAAGATCTGATGGATACAGCTGTCCAGGCAGCCCAGGTGACTGTAGGTGCCAGTGATGTGGCTCACAAGCTTCAGATGGCCTCTGCGATCTCACAGCCTCCACAGCTGGATCCCCAGGGGTAACATGTTGCTGTTTAATCTCTCACTCAACAGGATGCCGTTCACTTTACATCCCGCAGCGAATAGGAATGTCAGTGCCAGTAGTGTTAAATAAATTGTGTGCTGTGGCAGTTATCCTGTGTTCCTGCCGCTGATTGAGGCACAGTATGAGATGCTGCCCGCCTGCTTTCTCCTGAAACTGCAGCCAGGAATACCGATGATGCCATCTTTTGTAAACAAGCTCAGTCAAATTACAGGTTGGGCAGCTTTTCACCGTAAATCTGTGAATGTGTTTTTCCACACATGATGTTTAAAGAAAATTATATTTGGGCTAATAGCACAACAAGCATCCACTTTACTGTGCTCCCTCTGATATTTCATAGATGTGACCATACCAGATGTTGACCTGCAGTGGGCACCCTTACCCAAGCTTCTATTGAGACATTCACCAAGCACTAACAGCCTCAAGGAGAAATTAGATGAACAGGATCCTATTTTTACAGTGGTAAGTATTTTCAACACTCTTGTTTTAAACTGAATACCAAAGGCAATTGGGTTCATTTGAAACCATATTGTTATGCAAGCCTTAGAATCAATACTTACCATAAAGGGAATCAATACTTTCTGTCCAGCCTCTTCCTGGTGGTGTGATGCACAGTTATGTTCTCCCTGGAGCTGCATGGGAGGTGCCTGCTCAGAGAGGGGCTGTAGTGGACAGTATTCCCTTCACCCACCCTGCCCATGTCCCGGCCCTACTGGAGCTGCTCCGACATCAGTGTGCCATCAACACCCTGCTGAGGAGCTGCATCACGTCTCAGCGTGCCAGAACAGGCAAGAGAGCGTCACAATATGTTTAAATCGACGAGACCATCCATGGAAAAGTGGAGAAATTGTCATTCAGTCAGTTATGTGACACTTTACTGATGGGATTCTGCTGTCAGGTTCGGTTCGTGACCTGCACTTTGAAGTCCTTCCAGAGTCTGAGACCAGCTTTTCTGTCACCTTCCACCGACCTGACACTGACTCCCTCGCTGTTTGTGAGCATTTACTACACATTTTTATATTCATGTGCAAGTATCACTGTTTAGACAGGCTCCACATCTTAAAAATGTCAACTTTTCAGCATCAACAACAATGGCCTTTATTTATCCAATTTGGTTTGGATTTTATTTTTTTGTTTTTTTTTATTTTTTTAAGACCATAGGGTGTATAATTTTGAGATAATGACATAGAAACTAGAAACTTGTATGACTTATTGGTGCTTTTTTTTTTGCCACAGTGCTGGTGAATGTATCTAATTCTCATCAGATTAGCTGCACTATGTTCGGCGCAGGAATAGGGGATCCTTCTTTGGATGAATACCTTTCCACTGTCATGAAGAGGTATGGCCTCATGCCTTGCAGTATATCTACCATTTTAGACGAATAATTTAAAGGTTTTAATGTCTCTTCTGATGCTGTTTCTCAGGTGTATGTCCCTTCCTGTCACCCTGAGGACATTACACAGCAAGCTAGAGGAGATCAGCTCTGCCCCACTTTCTCCCCGCCACCCGGCCACCACAGAGGCCGAAAATGACCACTCGGCTGCCACGAGCACCGCTGCGACTGACCCCAGCAGCGCCTTGACCACGATCTCCGAGAGTGCATCTGTGCCAGAGGACGGCCTCAGTGTTTCTGGTTCAGCCTGCTATGCCATGTCTGTAGCCAAATCTGAGCTCCTTCCTGAAATAAATATAAGTCCTGCTGTCAACCCTTACCCTTTCACTCCTGTGGGTGTGTTCTCACACTGGATGACCAAAAACAGCCAACTGTCAGAGCTGATCTGAAACTGCATTCGCTTTATAGGTGATGAGTTTAAGCTTTTAAAATGTGTAAAAATCTTTTTTTTAGACTTGAATAAATGTTTTGGTAAAGCAACTGTTTTCTTTACACAAACTCAGGATTACTATGAAGTTACTATGAGTCTTTTTTTCTAGTTTTGAGTTTGTTAATTCAGTTGGTCTATGATCACATCAGCCTCCTCCATCTTCTGCAGAAATAGTTTCTTACTATGCATTCCAGTGTGGCAGAGATTGCCGGCTGTAAAGGTTTGAGGTTTGGCATTTGACCTCTCTCAGACAGCCAAGAGCCCAGTTGATTGGTACCATGTGAGCCAATCAAACATTGTTAAAGTACATGATGCATTCTGGATGGCTTGTAAGAGTAAAGTAGAGATACACACACTTCACATTTAAAAAAAGAAATCGCTCTGCTGAATGCGAAGGGTAGGGCTTGATTGTGATCAAAAATATCATAGATGTGTCGTGACTTTTGGCACACTTGCTTTTTCAAACTCATTTCTACAGTAAAGAAATGGCAGTTGGTGTGAAAGTATAGGAGCAGTCGAATTGAAACTCCCAATATAGCTGAAATATGAGTTGCCTGTAGGCACATATAATGTATAATGTTACTATGTAATAAAAGGAAGCACAATATGCCTACAAAAAGTCCCATACAAAATTAGCTGCACTTTTAAAGAAAAGTTGACCTTTTGTGAATAGTTCAAGAGTTAAAACCAGAACATTGATCTTATTAGAAGATCTAAGTCAGTGTAGACCAAATGTAATCCTCTGTAGATCTATAGTCTGTGTGCATTTAGAAAGGAATTTCAACATGTATCCAGAATATTAAGTCAACTGTCAGCAGTAGACAACTGGTTTTGTCCGGTGCCTTCACTTGTAGGTATCCAATGACCTGTATGACTGCTATTCATAGAAAGATTCCGACATGTGTGGTTAAACCATTCTCTCCTTTCAGCAGGTCTATAATATGCTCTGAATATTTAAGAGATTATGTGTCCTCAGTGTCTGGTTGGTTCAGTGTGAATCTATAAAAGTCACACCTGTAATACATAAATATTAATGAGCTATAAGAAGGAAAATAACTTGATGGGTCACCTTAGAGCAGTGATGGAAGAAGAACTCCAAGGTAGCAATACCACAGACTCTAATAACTTAAAGTACAAATAGTAAAAGTACTCATTGTGCAGAAGAGCCTATTTCAGATATATTATTGGATTATAATTAGTAATGAGTAAGCATCACTAATGGTAAAGGTGGGGCTAATTTCATCTACTTTATTAATCTATAATATTAATAATCAGAATGTATTAATTATTATTATTATTTTATATTAATCTGAATCTACAAAGTAACTAGGAACTAATGTCAAATAATTGTAGTGGACTATGCAGCAAAAAATGGAAATACTCAAGTGCAAAGGTAACTTCACCACTGCCTTATATATATGTATATTCAAGCATTTGCATATAAAAGGAGCACAGTATTGCAGTATGTAGGGATTTGACTGTATCTGAGTCACAGTCTCGGCCTGTCTCTCTGTCCCTTATCTTTTTTTAAATATCCACATCTCCCTCTCTCTGGTCTGCGGTCTCTTTAAATCCAGATCCAGTGGACGGAGAGCTGCGCGTCCTCACAAACTTGTCTGGCCGCTGTGATTGCCCGCACTCAGCCTGATAAACAGCTGCTTACCATTTAGCTTCACTTCACAAAACTTTTTCCTCCCAAGTCCTCGAATCGGGATTTCTTTTTGTGTGTGTGTCTGTGGATGTTCAGATATAGAAAGCCCTGCACCGCTGGAAGCTCAAATCCGGATTCTAGGTTTTTTTTTTCCTCCTTTTTTTTCCTTTTTTTTTTTTGCGTAATGCTGAGGCGTCCTCTGTTCAACATCTGGATTAACTATTTGGAGTCAGAGCTAGCGGCCCGACACAAAACTCTTGACTGTCTAGCCTATCTTTATGGAAAGACTGCCCTTTTTCTCTGGAATTTAACTCCTTTTGATAACCCGAGTTTTGCGCATAGATTATGTATTCTTTAAAATGGGTGCGAACAATGGAAAACAGTATGGAAGCGAGGGTAAGTGCTGCAATTACCACTTTTAAAACACGTTTTATTTGAATTCCACTTGAAGGAACTCTTTTTTTTTAAATCAAACTAGACTCCACCAGGGTTACTGTGTTGCTGTGAACTGTTTCTCACTGCTGTCCAACTGAACTAAACACAGAAAACAATGTAGCACTTTCTTGAATATGCCTGTGAAACATTAGTGAGCTAGCTTTAAACTAGCACTATTCCCTCTATATGTTTAATTTTCTTCCAGTCAGAGCTGTCTCTCTTTAGGTAGGGTTCAACTTACACCGAACTTCACTCAAAAACCTTCAAATTGTGAGGACGTGTGAGTGATATGGAGCTTATAGCAACGTTTGACTTGAATTCGCCTACTTTTTTATGCGTTTTTAAAGATGTGCAACGTTTATATTCCTCATATAAAACAAAGAGTGACATCTGGTGGTCGAGCTTTAAGCACTCGAGCTGTTCCAACATTGGAAGTTTAACCTAAAACTCCTGTTGCTTTCAGACCAGCCACCAAAATCCCTTAAAAATGTACTTTTATTGTGTATGTAGCTTCAGTTAAAAGTCATTTTACATACTGCTATAATACAATTGTAGAAGGAAACATACCTTAGCACTTGCACAGGTATTATTTGATATGCCTTTTGAGTTTAATTTAGTATTAAAAGGTGATGTTTTAGATCAGTAATACAGTTTAAATCAAATATCACTTCACGTAATCAGCCACAAAACAGCTGACTTAGCAGGGCAGCCAGTTCATCAGACAGTAGCCTAATTTATGGCACATTTTCTTTTTAAAGGGCGTATTCCTGTAGAGTTTGGTGGAGGTGGCTCAGAGAGTGTTTGGGGCATGTGGGCACTTAAGTCAGTCTTATCTTGATAAAAGCCAATTCCAGACATTTCTTTTGTCCACAGCCCCTGAACCAATTGTTGTTTGAGTTGGCAGCCATTTTGTGCATATTGTTCAATGCCGTATGATTGTCATGTCAACAAAAACACGTAGCAGGACAGCTTGAGGAAGACACAGAATAGCTGTACTGGTGAAAGATGCCATGTTGACGAGTGTTAGAGGAGACAGCATGGCGTCTTACGGTGGACGCACCTCAAAGTAATTTATTCCTACACACTTATTCGTAATGTTTTAGCTCAGTATGTAATTTTTTTATGTTCATTAGCTCTCCTGCAGCTGGTTGTTGTCTTAAATGATGAACTTGCACTGCAGAGATTCTGATCATGATGAAAACACAGATATTGTCCCTCCAGCATGGATTTCCTCTCGTATCTATTAGTGAACATAACTTAAAGTAAGCAATATCGACCCCCGATCTTTGACCCCACTCTGTATCGAAACAGGGGACAGTATTGATCTACAAGACAGACATCAGACGAGAACATGAAACATTCACTGTCCATCTCACGCAGCTATCCGATATATCCAGAAAATTGTTTCACCCAACTGGAATGCAGCTTAAACTCAGGGGGAAAACAACATTTTTACTTTTTTTTAATGTGATATTATAATAACCAAAACCATCTCTGCTGTCTCTCATACCACAGCACTGATACAATCCCCAACCATTGCATTAATGAGCCTGGACAGTCAAACTTGCCATCACTGCTATAGGCAAGGACTTCATTTAGTTAGTACCAAGAATATTAGCCTCCCCCCCCCCCCCCCCCCC